CCAAGTAGCGACAAGCGCACCCAAATGAGAGGGTATGGGGAGCAAACCTCACTCAGCATGGCTGCAGAGGGGTGAATGCCTCATCCTCCTCCTATCCTGCTGCTGGCCTCCGCATGCATCGGTTCAGCATGGCCCTGCGATGGGCAGTGTAGCACTTGGCTGCTGCCAGCCAAAGACAGAGAGGCAAAACCTTGACCAAGGAGCAGGCAGATGAATCCCCTTCACGTGGAGTCATTGCAGGAGTGCAATCTTCATGTACTGGAAGAAGCACGGTATGGAATGGAGGAGTAAAAGGCCTCCCTAAGACTTGGCTAAACCTCCTCTTGCAGCTCTCTGTGGAAGCCTGAGCTGGCTTTTCCAGACTATCAGCTTTTCTGGATGTGGTAAATGGCTTCAAGGAGCCTGATCTCAGCAGCAGGAGCAGCCAATCTTGTGCACGTGGCCTCATCCCCACAGCATTGCACAATGTGTCAGTGTTGCTCTGGCCAGCACTACGTTTACACTGCAGCAGTAACGTGGTGATGAGCGAGGGACCCAAACGTGCGAATGTCAAAATCTTTTATTTACAACAGTCTCCAAAAATCAAGAAACACTGAAAATAGTGAGGGCAAGGAGACGACTTACAAAAGTAACACATGTACATTGGGAATTGTGCTACATCACTCTGAGAACTGACACTCTAAGGTCTGCACACAACGTGGTGAAACAGCAGTGCCCTCCCTCTGTCCTTGTGGTGCTCACACCTCTCCTCCCCTTGGCTTTTGGGCCATCCTCCCTCCCCTTTGTTCTCTTCTGCTTCCCCCTGCAAACCTTGCTGCAGATGCGCTTGATGCTCTGGTCCTGGCCATTGCCTCCATCCCCAAAGGAGAGGAAAGCCAAACAGCCAAACAACAGCATCCTCAGGATGGAGACAGGCCTTGAAAGACTTTTACCTCCAGGACCCTGAGTACTGGTTAGCAGCAGCCTCTGAAAAGCCTGTGACCTATGGCTTGTATGCTGTTTGGGGTGAGGGGTGATTCTGGAAGTAACAAAGAAGCTGAACTTGTCCTGCAAATCACTCAGCACAGCTTCCTTGATGGACAGTGTGGGAGGATTGATACATGCCACAGGGTTAAATAAAATCCCTTTTATCTTCCAGTAGGGCAGGCTGCTCTGTAAGAAAAGTCATAGAATCATAGAATAGTCAGGGTTGGAAAGGACCTTAAGATAATCTAGTACCAACCCCCCTGCCTGAGGTGGGCAGGGACACCTCACACTAAACCATCTCACCCAAGGCCTCGTCCAACCTGGTCTTGAACACTGCCAGGGATGGAGCATTCACAACCTCCCTGGGCAACCCATTCCAGTGCCTCACCACCCTTACAGGAAAGAATTTCCTTTTTATATCCAACCTAAACTTCCCCTGTTTCAGTTTTAACCCGTTACCCCTTGTCCTATCACTACAGTCCCTAATGAAGAGTCCCTCCCCAGCATCCCTATAGGCCCCCTTCAGATACTGGAAGGCTGCTCTGAGGTCTCCACGCAGCCTTCTCTTCTCCAGGCTGAACAGCCCCAACTTCCTCAGCCTGTCTTCATATGGGAGGAGCTCCAGTCCCCTGATCATCCTCGTGGCCTCCTCTGGACTTGTTCCAACAGTTCCATGTCCTTTTTATGTTGAGGACCCCAGCACTGCACACAATACTCCAGGTGAGGTCTCACAAGAGCAGAGTAGAGGGGCAGGATCACCTCCTTTGAGCTGCTGGTCACGCTCCCTTTGATGCAGCCCAGGATACAGTTGGTTTCTGGGCTGCAAGTGCACACTGAAGATGGCTCATGTTCATTTTCTCATCAACCAACACCCCCAAGTCCTTCTCCTCAGGGCTGCTCTGAATCTCTTCTCTGCCCAACCTGTAGCTGTGCCTGGGATTGCTCTGACCCAGGTGTAGGACCTTGCACTTGCCATGGTTAAACTTCATGAGGTTGGCATCAGCCCACTTCACAAGCGTGTCAAGGTCCCTCTGGATGGCATTCCTTCCCTCCAGCGTATCAACCGAACCACACAGCTTGGTGTCATCGGCAAACTTGCTGAGGGCGCACTCAATCCCACTGTCCATGGCAGCAATGAAGATGTTGAACAAGACCGGTCCCGACACCGATCCCTGAGGGACACCACTCGTTATTGGTCTCCAGCCGGACATTGAGCCATTGACCACAACTCTTTGTGTGCGGCCATCCAGCCAGTTCTTTATCCACCGAGTGGTCCATCCATCAAATTGATGTCTCTCCAATTTAGAGACAAGGATGTCGTGTGGGACAGTGTCGAGCGCTTTGCACAAGTCCAGGTACTGCTCTACCCCTATCCATCAGTTCTGTAGCCCCGTCATAGAAGGCCACCAAGTTGGTCAGGCAGGATTTCCCCTTAGTGAAGCCATGCTGGCTGTCACCAAGCACCTTGTTCATTTTCATGTGCCTTAGCATGCCATGCAGGAGAATCTGCTCCAGGATTTTGCCAGGCACAGAGGTGGGACTGACTGGTCTGTAATTCCCCAGGTCATCCATTTTCCCCTTCTTAAAAATGGGGGTTGTATTTCCCTTTTTCCAGTCATCGGGAACTTCACCTGACTGCCATGAGTTCTCAAATATGATGGCCAGCTCCTTCAAGACCCGCGGATGGATCTCATCAGGACTCATGGACTTGTGCACATTCAGATTTTTAAGATGGTCTCGAACCAGATCCTCTCCTACAGTGGGCCCAAGGTCTTCATTCTCACAGTCCCTGCATCTGCCTTCCAAGACTTGGGTGGTGTGGTCAGAGCCTTTGCCAGTGAAGACCGAAGCAAAGAAGTCATTCAGAACCTCAGCCTTCTCCAAATCCTGTGTAGCCAGTTCTCCTGAGAGCTTCCTGAGGGGGCCTACATTCTCCCTAGTCTGTTTTTTATTTGCTACATACCTGTAGAATCCCTTCCTGTTATCTTTAATAACTCTAGCTAAGTTTAATTCTAACTGGGCCTTAGCTTTCCTAACCTGGTCCCTAGCTTCCTGGACAACATCCCTGTACTCTTCCCATGCCACCTGTCCTTGCTTCCACTTATTATAAGCCTCTTTTTTCATTTTAATTTTCCTCAGGAGCTCCTTATCCATCCAAAGAGGTTTCCTGGCCCTCCTGCTGCACTTCCTTCTGGTTGGGATGCAACACTCCTGAGCTTGCAGCAGGTGATCCTTGAATATCAACCAACAGTCTTGGGCCCCTCTGCCCTCTAGGGCAGTATCCCATGGAACCTTCCTAAGCAGGTTCCTGAAGAGGCCAAAGTCTGCTCTCTTGAAGTCCAGGGCAGTGAGCTTGCTGCACGCTCTTCTCACTGTCCTGAGGATCTCAAATTTGAGCATCTCATGATTGCTGCATGCAAGGCTGCCCTGGAGCGTCACATTTCCAACGAGCCCTTCCCTGTTGGTGAGCACGAGGTCAAGCACGGCACCTCTCCTTGTCGGCTCCTCTATTACTTGCAGAAGGAAGTTGTCTTTCACACAATCGAGGAACCTCCTGGATTGCTTGTGCCGGGCCGTACTGTCCTTCCAACAGATGTCAGGGTGGTTGAAGTCACCCATGAGAACAAGGGCCTGCGAGCGTGAGGCTTTTCCTATCTGTCTATGGAGTGCTTCATCCCCAGGTTCTCCTTGATCAGGTGGTCTGTAACAGATCCCCACAGTAATGTCTCCCATTGCTGTTCTCCCTTTAACCCTGACCCACAAACTCTCTGTGGACTGCTCACCTGTCCCCAGACAGAGTTCCATACTCTCCAGCCTATCCCTAACATAAAGGGCAACTCCCCCGCCCTGCCTGCCAGGCCTGTCTTTTCTAAAGAGCCTGAAGTCAGTGCAGGACAAGCTAAAAGAATTAGATGCAACAGAGCAATATCCCAGTTTGCTCCAGCAGAGACAAAGCCAGGACCCTCTGGAGACCACTGCATCCAGACTGCTGTATCAGTGGTATGGTAACTGTAAGCATGCCACACGTCCTTCTCCTTGGGGAGACCAGGCTGCCTTTGCTCTGGCATAGTTTCAGATCCAGCAGGGACTGAGAAACACAGCCCAGCTCAGCCACTGATCCTCTTTTGGGATCTGCAGCTTTGGCATTGCTGAGGTCAGTGGCCACACTTGATGCCCCAGTTGCCTTACAGAACCCCCCCTGAATCCAGCACCTCAAGAGGCCCTACAACATAAAGAAACAGAGTGAGGAGACCAGGGTCTATTCCTTTTACTGACACTGATTTTTCAAGTCATGAAATGGAATGGTTTGGGTTGGAAAGGACGTTAAGATCACCCAGCTCTAACTGCCTTCCATGGGCAGGGCCACCTTCCACTAGAGCAGGCTGCTCCAAGCCCTGCCCAGCCTGGCCTTGAACACTGCCACCTGATTTTGACATGGCTGTTGCGAGCAGAGACTCTCCCCCCCCAGTGTCCACAGCCATGGGGAGCCTTGGATGCAGTCAGCAGCTCCAGTGAAGGCAAAGAACAGCAACACCAGCTCTGTGCATGTATCACAGTGTTTCAGCACTGGGCAGCAGTGTTCTGGGACTGGCAGGGCGAGGGCTGATGCTCAGGAAAGGACCTGCTCTGTTTTCTAGGAGACCACAGAGTTCCAGCATGACTCCCATCCTGAAACACTACCATCAACTTTTCAGAATGCAACCCTCAAAACAGGATTTAGTAGAAATAAAGGAGTGGGCAGTTAACAGAAATGTTCCCTTGCAGTGTGCCATAACTGAGAAATCGGGTACCTCTCTTTTTAATTGCAGCAAGATTGTTTTGAAACAGAAAAATCAGAGCATTCTCTTTCAAGTAAGGCTGGTCTGCTGTACTCTACTGTTTAAATCCATCAAAACTGACAGCTTCATATGGAACATTTTAACTCCCAACCTTCCTCTGCCTGAGAAATTCTCCCTGAGACAATCTTCAGCCAGTTCAGTCCAGACTCTGTGAGCACCTTAGGCACGAGAATCTACCACAGAGAGGGCTAATTCTTGCTAAGCAAAACAGGACCCAAGAGATGGTCTGGGAAACAGAGCAGTCATGACAGAAAGAACAGAGGCAGAGATACGGGATGAATTAATTTAGGGCAAGCATCTGCTCCCAGAACAGTGCCAGACAGGTGAGGCCTCGTGTTTTATTGCTACAAGCATCTGCCTCAGGGCACCAACTCCCAGCAGGGCTGTCAGCCCCACCTTCACATTTGCTCAGATAAACCCATCCATTTTCTTACCTCTATAATTTTATGAGTGTTTTCTAGTTCCAAGGAGGATGCTGCCTACATGGAGATGGATGTACACACCTGCTACTGAGTTATTGTCTCCACAGATGCTTGAAGAAGGCTGGACCCCATCTTTAAGCCTCTTTCACTCCATGGTAGATGGAGAAAGCACCAGCTACCCTGAACACAGAGCTGTAAAATAGTGATGGGACAAATGGCTAGCTAGATCTTAAGACAAGTGTTATGACTATATTCAATCACATTTTCAGGTTACCAACATCCAGTGAGTCTTGGCAGTGAGAAGATTACCCAGGATCATCTCCTGGCTCTTCCACCATTCTGCTACAGTCTGGTGTAAGTTCCTCCTCCTCTCCTTACTTCAGTTTCCTTGCTGGAGGGGCATGATCTCCTCACTATGCTTTTGTGAAGCATCTGCTACAGCTCTACACTTACCTCAGTTTGTCACTTTCCTTTCTAAATTGCTTCAGCCATGGCTCTCCCAGTACCACAAACAAAGGCAAGGTGATGCCTTGATGGCTAATACCAGCAAGCCCTTCTGCACTGAGTGAGCCTGGGCTGGGCAGAGAGGAGGAGGGAATATGATAACTTGTCCTTTTCCCCTGCCTGTCTGGAAAACAGGACAGATCCTGTCAGGTGCCAAGAACTCTGCTATTTTTGTCTGTGGATCACACCCTGCCAGATCAGACCCAAGAGACTTAAAAGGTTTCCTGCTACTTTGAAATTAATCTTTGCCTTCCAAGAGTGGCTCAATGCATGGTCCCAGCATGGTGTGTTCAGAATCACTCTGGGGGCAGGGGGGTTTACAGAGCCTTTTTATAACATAGAACACCAGGGGCTTAAATGAGCTTTAAACTTTGCACGATTCAAAGCACATCTATGCCTTGTCTTAAAGGCCTTTCAAGGTTTCTTCATGCTCTCAGAAGAAGGAACTGCCTCTAAGGGTGCAGACAGCACCTTACTCTCTTCTCTGGTGACCTGGAAATATCCATCAGATTTAATCACTCCAAGGAATTGGAAGCATTAGCTAAATTCAGGTCAAGCCACCAGCCAGAGCACCCTTAGCAGCAGCTAGGGCCACCTTTCTCACCCCTGCAGCACCCACACAGCCACACTGCTCTCTGTGGTTGCTGCCATTCACAGTGCTGAGGACACTGCCAGCGGTTCACTTTGGAGGACAGGTGAAAGCCTGGCTTACAGATCAGTGCTGGGGCTGAACCGTGCACATAGCAGCACAGCTTAAGGATAGCCAAAACCCCTTCCCAGAGCCCTTTATTCACGGCCACAGGGTTCATTATGAAGGAGCTGGTGCAGATCAGGGGTAGGTGCCAAGGAACATTTCACACTTTGCAGGAAAGGGTAACTCAGCTGCACTATGGGGTGGTGAAGAAACCAGGTCTGTTCTGCTCGTGCTCTCACCACCCTCACTGCCTGCAGCAGGGTTGCTCTGGATTGCCCCTAGCATCAACAAGAGTCCTGTCCTGGCACTCTTCTCCAGCTGACACCTTGGGGAACCTCCTTTAAGGACAAACATTTAATCCAGTCTCACAGGAATGACATGACGTGAAGGTATAAGACTGGCAGGGATCAGGGCAGGGATGCATTGAGGCAGGGATCAGAGCAGGGATGCATTGAGCCAAGCAGAAGCAGCTGCTGGTCTGTCTCAGCAGCACAGCCCTCAGAACTTGGCTGACAACGGGGATGGGCTTCCTGGAATTCTCATCTTAAAAAGGGGGGGTCAATCCAGACAGAGAATACAAAGCCACTAGGGACATGATATCTGCAAACAAATGAAGTCAGGCTGCTTTCTGTCCACCCCCCTCTATTGGCATCCCTGTAAATAATGTTTAATGCATCTCCAAGTGGGCCCAACCCCTCCTCTTCTGCCAAGGGCCAGATGTGCTGCATATCAATACACACACTTAGCTATTTCAATTTTAAAAATATGATAGAATCAGTGATGCTTAAAATGTACTTGTTAATGGCAGCAGTTTGTGACTTCATTTTACTATAATATAAACCATCTGCTCTGAGCAGGCAGCAGCTGCAGGCTGAAGCTCTGCTGCCCTCATGTCTTCAAAACAGAGGGTCATCCTAAAGCTCATCTGGGGGTTGGAACTGGATGATCTGAAGGTCCTTTCCAACCCAAACCATTCTATGATTCTATCCTCAGGTTAAGACTAAAAGGCTCTGCAGGGGCCTCAAGGCTGTCTGCTTTCTCTCTACCCTAAAGAACACCAAGATGAGGGAGATGAGGGCAGGCTGCTGAGGGCACTGACTGCTTTCCTGGTGGCTCTTCACAGACCCGAGAGATTCCAGAGAAAGGTGCATTGTCCCTTCAGAAAGAAAGGGAAAGCCATGCATCCTGACACCCTCCACATACGAGGAAAGCAGGTGGTGCCACCCAACATCTCTACTTCAGATCCCACAATGACAATCCCATGATAAGAGCTCCTCTGCATCAAGTTCAGTGCTGGTTTAGCTTGGGCACAGGGCACAGCAAAGGGGTCCAGACAACCTATTTCCCAGGCCCGTCCAACAGCTCACTGCTGTTTCCCAAGGCTTGGGTAATGAGGCACAGGCTTGGCATGGGGATAGGACATCACCTCAAGAGTCATGTTGCAGTGCTGACCAAGGGGAGAGACAGAGGGAAGGGTTTAGAAAGGGATCAGATGGCCTTCCCAACTTCTCCCCTTTTAGCTTTGCCGTTCCAGAAAACTCTTCATTAAAAAAAGAGAGACAAAAAAAAGGAAAGAAAAGCAAAGCAGAAAGAAAACTGAGAGGAGACCTCTTCTCCTCCTCCTCACAGGCTGAGGCATCTGCTGGACAGCCCTCACTGTCCATCATCCATCACTACCCAAAATAAATACAAGTTTAGAGCAAAACCCATTAGAAAATAAAGTGCATCTGGAGTTGAAAGACTTCTGGAAAAAGGGTGTTGGGTTTTTTTTAGGGCTTTTTTCCTCTTTTTCTTACAAAAAATATCCTTTAAAAAAAAAAAAGAAAGAAAAAAGAAAGGGAGCAAGAGGACAGAGCACATGGCTCTTGGCATAGGGTCTACAGGGCTGTCCCATTGGGGAGAGGGATCTTAAATCCACTCTTCAGCAGGACGAGGCAGATGCATAGACCCAGGAGGCCAGCAAGCAGCACCCCCACCACAGCCTTGAGGCAGGAAGTCCTGCTGCGGGTGAAGGTGCCGGGCCCCATGATGCTCAGCAGGGCTGTGCTCACAGTTAACGTGTACAGGATGGAGACTCCCGTGTTGAGGGCCACGATCTTCCCAAACTTGGCGAAAGGGGCGATGATGCAGAAGAAGAGCGGGACGGTGGCGATCACGGTGGTGACGGCGCTCGAGACGATGGCCACCCCCACGTGACGCACGGCTTCAACTGTCCTCCACTGGCGGCACGCTCTGGGGTCCTGCCGAGGGACAGCGGCGTTAGGGGGAGTGGGGACAAGCACATGGGGCTGCGCTGAGGGTTGCCCCCTCAGCTGGGTTGACTGTACTCAGGTGCACATCGGTCTCTGACCAGTCAAGCTGGACAAGCAGCAAGCATTCCGGGCATGCTGTGAGGGTGGCAAGGCACGTCCCCTCTTGACCATCGGGCTCGAGGTCCTGCATCACAGGCAAGTGGCACAGAGGGCATAAAGGGAATGGATAAAAGGCTATAGGAAGGAAAGAGCTCACCTCTGCTTGGTGCAGTGGCAGGTTTTCCCCTGCCAGCAGGTAGCCCTCCACCAAGTGCACGCAGTAATCTACAGAGGAGCCAACAAGGATGGAGAGGGAGATGGCTTCCACAGCACCCATTTCCCAGCCAGACCAGTACATGATGGTCACCACCAGGCAGACCACCCCTGTGTGAAAAACATCGTGTTAGGCACATTTAAAGGAGTCTGGGACTGCTGCCCAAGCCCTATTGATACAAGTCAGTCACTGGGGTGTTTGGGATCCTACCCCTGCAGTTCTGCATTCTAGCCTGTCCAAATCCTTTATATGCTCCCTGCAAACACTTCCTCACCTTCTATTGCCACAGGGGCCATTCAATAAGGGACCTGCTGGAGATATTGACATGGGACATGAAAAGGGGCTGCTGTGGCAAAACTGACAGACTGATGCCAATCTAGACTAAGGGTTATGAATCCAAGCCCAGGCAAGTGTGCATGTGTGCATTGCAGGAAAGAGGGCCCTTAGTTTTGCTTGCTAGAGTTACACATAGGCTGTGCTCACACACAGGCTTTTCTTAAAGGCAAGAGTGACGTTTGTGAGCCATGTGTGGGAGCCTAAAGTGGTTTCAAAATGACAGATTTGATTTTTCAACTGCAAAGTTTAGCAACACACTTAAACCACAATCTCGTCAAATCACCAGCCAGGGAGAGGGAACTATTTACACATTTGCTTCAAATACTAACAAACCCACTAAAATATTCAGCTTTTCAAATCTCCCACTGCTTGGAAACAGCAGCCGTGGTGCAGATCCCTAGGAAGTAGTGCAATTGTGATTCAGAGCATGTGGGACTTAATCACATTATTATACATAACAGGCAGGGATGGCATTTGTGTTGCTAAACCCCTTACTTAAACAAACTGAAGGGATTGTGTAGATAAAGCACACTGGGAATTAAGACACACAAATCTTTCCCAGTGTGCATTTGTGGAGTTCCTCCCATTCACCTGGGTACTTCCAGGACTAGCTCCTGGAAAGCCAAAAAGGCTTACTCAGAGTAAGAACAACTCAGTTAAAATCAGCAGAGATTCAGCAGTGCCACAACCCACCAACTTCAGGCAAAGGGAAAGCTTAATACATTGGAGATGTGATTTTACCTAGAATGCTGAGCAGCACTGGCAGCAGCAGGAGGATGTGAGTGGTGAACACTGCTACTGCAGCCACACAGATAACCAGCGAGAGGACGAGACCGTACAGGGCACTCTGCACTCCTGCAAGAGAAGAGCCACCTAATTTGACTCCTGGAAGGTGACAGTTGGGCTGAGAAAGGCACCATGTCCCTGGCTAGCAACAAGTCAGGCAGGGACTCCCACTGGGGAACACGGGAAGGAGAAGATTAAAGCGGAAAGCTGGTGATCAGCTTCTTGTCTCTCCCATCAGCAGGGTAGAGTTCCTTCCCTCCTCTATTTCCCTAGGCTCTGCCTAGGATTTTGACAGTGTACTCTGCTTGGAGCAGAAACAGGCTGTACGAGTTTGCACAGCAATGGTAAGGGACTGAAGATACAACATGTGCCCATCAGATGGGTTGGAGTGTGCAATGAGGATGTATCAGAGAGCGTGGGCTCCTCAGGGACTGAAACATGGCAGTCACTTGCCTATGATCTCCATGAAGATCTGCTTCCAGTGCTCACAGGTCTGGAAACCATGCCGGAGAGCAGAGCCCTCTGGGAAGAGCTGGAGCTGCTGCTGTAGGAACGTCTCCCATTTCAAGTAGTCAGCATACGTCTGGAAGGAAGATTTCCCTTTGTAGGTTGTCTGTAACAAGATGAACATGTTATTCTCGTGTCCTGCTCTTTTGGGCAGTGTATGTGTTGTAAGGGAAGAGGTAGAATGAACCAGCTGGAGTTGCAGTGGCTAATCTGCCATGAGCTCTTTGCCTGCACTCCCATGGTAAGAGCAAGCTGTGGCATAAGTAGCCACTTCTACCACCCTGTGAGTGCAGACGTTTGTCTGCAACAAGGCACAAACACTACATTATGGCTGCAAATGAGTAGCCAGAGTAGAAGGAGCAGAGCTAAACCCCCAGAAATAACATGAAGTAACTGTTCAGAAGGATAGATGATGATGCCATGTGCTCACCGATTCAAATGCCATGGAGATCCACTGCACCTTCCCATCCTTGACCCCCACTGCCCCATGAGAGAGCTGTCCAGGCAGCAGGTTTGGCTCGGGGATGTTCTTGCACTCAGGGTGCAACATCTGCAGAAAGGACGAGATGCTGTAACCTGGAGAGAAAGAAAAAGCAAGGGATGGAGGACAGGGAAAGGAAGCACACTAGAGCAGGGGGAGAACCCGACCCACAAAAACACCCCAAAACCAAAAACGGACACAAGAGATGCAGGCCCCATTTGCCAGCAGCTGCTTCCCCCTGCCAAAGCCCCTGAGGTCTCAGCACCAGAGTGCTCAGCTGCTGCTAGCTTGAAAAGGCACTCTGTGCCATCAGCACTGGACAGGACACCACCACTGCTGCTGTTTGTCCCCAGCTGTCAGAAGCAGTACAAACAGCAGGCACTGAGGAGCTGTCTGCCTGGCCTGGCAGGGATCTTCTCCAGGCATGGGAATGACTTTGGCTGAAGCCAGTATACACTTCCTAGACTCATCTCCACAGCCTTGTGACCTCTGAAGCTGGAAGAGACAGTCACTGGTTAGAAGCCACAGGGGCAGTGAATGGCCTCATCCCAATGAGATCAGGAGTGATCTGATGTTATTCAGGAGCTACTGAGAAGATATTTACTTGTCCAAAAGGCTGTATCACAAACAATACCTATGACTGGAAAGAACAGATGCAATGCTGTTCTTCTTTACACTGGATTAAATCCTGAAGAATATGCCCAGTGTCTTTGGAGTTTAAGAGACCATTTCTCTTATGTCCTAGAAAGCATGACCAGGGGCCTGTTCTAGAAGGGTAAAGTTGCTGTGGAAGAAAAGGAGGCAGCAAGAAGCAGCCACCCTTTCTGGTTTGCTATTGAGGACCCCAGCCCAAACAAATACTGCTGCAAGCAGAGATGACATTCCTGTCCCACTCACTCTGTCTTTCTCATCCCCAAAATGGTTGGCACAGCGCATGGAAGCACGAGGTGAATGGCTCATGGAGATGGGAGCTGTGACTTAAGCCAGGTGGAAACAGGTAGAGAGCTATGCTGCAGCCAGGTGAGGAGAGCTGACTGCCAAGAAATGCCTCTCCTCCCTGCACTGCCTGTATCCACTACTGACTGGTACCTCCCCTTTCCTTTCCGTGCTTTATCAAGCCAGATCTAAATGTTTAAAAGCCCTCAGCAGCCACACTCCTCAGACTGGAGGGTGAGAACCAGTCTCCACCCAGGGACCCAGGATCTCCCTAATGACCCTGTGCTGGTGTTGGTCCTACCTACCAGAGGGCAGGCACTGAGCCCCTCCTGGCTTCACCAGCTCCGTGTTGCTGGCGATGGCTTTGCAGAGGCGGCACAGGTTGCCAATCTCTTTGAAGAGGTCAAAGCTGTCATCGTAGATAACGCTGCCCTTTCACAAGGAGACACAACGACAAGAGAACCACATGTGAGGCAGATACACAGCAA